TGTGCTGTGCTCAATATAAGTTATTTCTTAAGTGAAGATAAGCATTAACAAGTGAAAGAAATCAGTCTGAGAAGTCTTCATGCTCTATGTGCCTTTGTGTTGCATTCTGTAAAAGATAAAAATCATGTGAATAGTTGAAAGGTCAGTGGTTTCAGAGTTTCTAAGGAAAGCGAGGAAAGAAGTGATAAACAGCTAGAACACATTTTTTCTGGTTAAAAAAAGCTATTCTTTCTGTAAGATACTGTATTAGTGGTTATAAAATACTATGGTTATGAAAATGCAAAATTAGAGAACTTTAAGGGCATGTTTAATGTAAGTATTTCCCTAGTTGGCAATAGTGTCTAAATATTGACACATCATTTATAACAGTGTAGCATGTTTATGGAAAACTCTAATAGCATCCATGCATGTGGAAATTGTTTTTCTGCTAATTTACCATATAAACTGAAAATTTATCTGTTAACTAAAACTTTAAAGCTGAATTTAGTTTAAAATTAATTTTCTTATTACATTTATGTCGATGATTTTAATTACTCCATAAGCATTTAATATTCTTATAGTTAAATTGATAGATTGATGCTTTTAAACAATATACAAAGTTGCTTTGTCTGGACAATGTTAGACTTCTTTAAGTTTTTTGTTATATTTTGAATTTCCCTTTAAGGATACTTTCACAATTCATATTGGAGAATACACATTTAACAAGAAAACTGCCATTAGCACAATCATCTGTGTATTCTGTATCACAGCAGAAAATGTCACTGTGGCAAAGTAATACTTTAGTTCACCACTTCACAAGTTCCAGTGTTTGAGTTTTGGAGTCCTGAGGAATATGATCCTGTCTTTGCTCAGTCATCTTCACATGGAATTAATTTTTAGTGACGCTATTTCATAAGTGTACAAAAACTTTCTTCCACAAAGGACATGAAATGGAGTATGAAATTAAAATAAACTTGTATAAGTCTACTTATATTTCATTGATCTTTTTCCCTCCGACATTGACTCTGGATTGTATTGGCAAATTATCTATTAGAAATACATAAGCATTAGGCTTTTTTAAAATGGTATGTGAGGTAATTATTTTAATGGTATGCGAGGTAATTTTTTTAATGGTATGTGATGCGACTTTTTTAAAGTAGATAAAGTAAGTGAAACGGGAGCATGGTCTCGCAGCTAGAAAGGACCTAGGGAAGTTTGTCTGCTTCTAGAGCTTTGGGAGCTAGAAATGGGTGCTAAAATTGGGGTGGGGTGTCAAGGATTTTGTGGGGGGATTGGTTTTTCAAGATAAGGTTTCTCTGTGTAGCTTTGCAGCCTATCCTGGCACTTGCTCTGTACACCAGGCTGATCTGGAACTCACAGAGATCCTCCTTCCTCTGCTTCCAGACTGCTGGGATTAGAGGCTTGAGCTCCCAACTCCCAGCAGGGTTCAAGAATATTAAAACCTTCAGTTGCATTTAATGTTCTTTTGTTGTTTTTCTGCTGTTTTCATCCACTGCATTTTTAAGCATTTCTTAGAATCATCGTATTTTACAGTGGCTTGAGACTGGCACAGGTATACATTCTAGTCATGCTCTCCAGTAGAAGCTATGATTTGCCTAAGGCACTTGGTGTCTCTGAACTTTTTTTTTTTTTCCCTATAAATAATGGTTATAATGACAACTCCTTTCTCAGAGACTAGTGGATGCTTGCTTTACAGAAATGATATGTGGTATATTATTTGGCTTGTTCATCCCTCAGTGTGGTCGACAAACCCTGATTCATATTGTCCTCAGATTTACTATCTCAGCCTTCTAGAGTGTGTCATTCTGAGCTTTGGACTTGTGTTCGGTTACTATCTCTGTCTTTTAGAGTATGTGCTCATTGTGCCATTCTGGGCTTTGGACTTATGTTCTGTTTTCAGGCATTCACCAAGAACCATAAACTATACAGACACAGCGCAGTTTTGTTGCACACTTGCATTTCGCAACATTATGGCCAGAGGAGTTTTTGATGTAATATTCTTAATATATAAATTTTATGTTGTGAGTAAGGGGATATAGCTCTGTGGATTCTAAAGATCTATAATAAAATACTTGGTCTTAGTTTTTTTTTTTTTTCTTGTCACTTAAACAATAGAATATTTTTTAAATGTCATCCAAATTTGTGCTGCATACCTATAAAATCTTCCAGAACCTTGCATTGGCACTGTAAGGGAGTTCTACTGCAGATTGACAAGCAGGCCATGATTTATTGCAGGGTCTGTTTTTAATGTTACTTTGTCTAGAATGAACAGAGTGGTTAGAGAAACTCCATCCATCTCTTTGTTTGACATTTATGCCGCATTAAATGTACATTTAAAAAACAATGCAAGAATAAGGAATTCTGTTTAACAATGATGATTACTATCTGTCAGATAAGTCTCTTGACAGACATAGAGAAGGGAATCCTGTCAAGAAAAGTCTGTTAACATTTAAATAAAACATTTTTAATATGAACAATATCCCGAATGAAATTTCATTTTCATTCTAAGTACTACCATTACAAAATGTGCTTAAGTTGTTTTTCATTTCAACAAAATTAGCACTGTCTCTCAATTTTATTTCTAACTCAAACACTGATTACAAAGTGGTTACTAAAAACAGAATGTACCTTTTGTTTGTAATGTTTGTCAGAAACTTTGAATTCATCTCTCTCTGTGTCTCTCTCGTACAAATAGTTAAGACCTCTCTAAATGCATTTTATTGTGCTTTTGTGATTTTTTTTAAAGGTGTCAGTTTAAAATTTCTACTTTCACAGGATTCCTGAGAGAGAACAGTCATTTAGGCAGGAAGGATACCATAACAGCCATGGATAGTCAACACAAGCTTCCTAGCTGGGCCATTCATTTACTACTTGGAAGTTTTGAGTGATTGTTTTGTTGTAAGTCTCAAAATTATTAAACACCAGATTAGCAGAGATAGATGATTGGGTTGGGTTCCTCCTTTATATTCAGTGGCTCTGCTGTTTATTAATAGATGGCCACCACTAAGTAGTTTGCTAATTAGTTCATTTTGATGCAATGGGCTATGAAAGTATCATCCTCCCTCAATGTGTTGACTTTATATTGTAACCAAACACTCAATGTTGAACCTAAATGGTTTGGATATATTTGACTTGAAGATGCTACAAATTATATTGTATCATAGACCCAGAAATCTTTATTCTTACCACTCATCAAAAAACATTGAGATTGATCCAGTGGATTATGGTTTCATCATTGGTTTCTTAAGATATTAATCCCACTACTTATTGGATGACTACATCATAAGAATTTCTGGAAAACTGTGTTAAGTGTCTGTGAATTATAGAGGTCAGTTATGTTTGTCTCAATCAGCATTCCACACAGGATGTCAGTTGTTTCTCATAAAAGTTGTGCAGTGTGGAAAGACAGGGACTTGTCATACTGAGTTGCTCAGAATCCACTAAAGGAACAATATGCCCAAGTAATCACTGACCTAAACTAAGTAATAATAAGGGAACTTAGGTATGAGAATGTTTTTAATTGAATAATGCTTTTTATGCAATGCATATACAAGTGAAAGTTTTCTGTGTTTGAGTTACCTTTCACTTCTCAAAATGGTAGTATAAATGGAATAGAGTTATAAGAGAAATTACAAATCAGATTACTGTTTGGTGATATGTCTAAAAATTGAATTTACTGGAAAATTTTCAACTCTTCCATGCATGCAGAAATGACTTTTAAATATCAGAACATATGTGGGTCTCTTTATTTGTATTCTACTTGTTTTATTTCGATATTGTTGTTTTTCTAGGTATGCTTTCAACCCATTCTTCTGTATGTTTATTGAGTATGCATTGTAGAGTGAATTTAGAGTTCCTGTTTTATATTTGGCTTCATTTTGTAATACCTGTGTGCCAACTAAGGTCTAATAACTTGCCCTGGGAACCTAACTTAATAAGGGCATGCCTCCCTGTTAGGAGGTCACTCATGTATGTCAGTAGCAATTTGTGTCATAATTGAGCCTTTACAAAGTACTCTCTAAACACTCTTCCAGATGTTATGAAGTCTCTGTGAATTATCAACAAGGTATTCAATAATCTGTGAGATGTCAGTTTTAGGGAGGTGTCAGGAGCATTCTTAGTTTTGTGGTAGTGATGGTGATGGTGTATGGTGTGTGTGTGTGTGTGTGTGTGTGTGTGTGTGTGTATTATAGACATAACATGAGAATATAAATATTAATACAGTATAACTATTGTTTTAATATTTTCCTAAGTGCATACAGGATGACAGAGCCAAAGTTATTCATGAAAAAAAATGAAACAAAAAACCAATAGACTCAGAGGCACTCCTTGTGTAAATGTACACCATTTCTAGACATTGCCATTTGCATATCACTTGTGTAAATGTACACCATTTCAAGACATCACCGTTTGTGTATTACTTCAAATCTTCTAGTTCTTTTTACCCAAACTTGAAACAACTTTCTTCTCTATCTTGGCCCACCATGTCCAGCACCTCCATACCCTCCTAGATATTCTTTGTGACAGATTTTACTATACTGTCTGTCACACCAAGGCAAATAAACTGTGTGTCTTTTTAAAAAATGAAAAGGCTTCTTGAAAAACTATTTTGTCATTGTATCTACCTTAAACTCCTACAGTGTGTAGTAGGTAGTCTGTGGGTACATGCCAAGACCGTGAACATATGAACCACACAGTTTGTTTAAGTTCAACTGTTATATAGGTATATTGTTGTTGTTTTTTTCTTTTTCTATTTTCCTAGGCATATTATTTTTCCCTCACAGATGATAACATACTAGATTTCTTTGGAGTTATTTCTCCTTCATTACAAATGTTAATAATTTTAAACCAACATCAAGTAAAAGGTACTTTGGAAAGTATTCAAATACATTCAGAACTGAAACACATTTTCCAACCAACTGCTGATCTAGAGTAGTGTGTTGCATGAATGGATAAATTATTAAAATACTTTGTGTTTTTTCTTCCTCTCATTCACTTAGCTAAAGGACATAAAATCAGCAGATCAGAAAACAACACTGCTTCACTTCCTGGTGGACATATGTGAGGAAAAGTACCCGGACATCCTGCCTTTTGTCGACGATTTTGCACATTTAGACAAAGCTTGTAGAGGTTTGTGGTCTTATTAAGAACTATATATGTCTTTGCTCTGGTCTTCAGTCTAAGAGACAGAAAATCATGCTTTTTATTTGCACGTATTATCCAGTTTGTTAAAGTGTTTTCATATGAAATATGCTCATTTGAAAAGATGTTATAGGCTATTTTATGAGTGGTGATGAATAGGAATATGAATTGATTTGGTTAGACAGTAAGATGTCATAAGTGCATTGTACTGTAAACATCATGGGTGCTTGTTAAACCCACCCTCTCCTGCTTCGTTCCCTGCACTTTGCTTTGGCAGTGCTTCCTAATCACTTGTCATTTGCAAGGACCAAGTGGAATTCCCAAGCACTATTGTGTACCAAAGTGAGTGTGTTCCTTTTGTCCAAGTTTCAAAGCTGTGTAAAGGAATTGAGTATTCTTTTGTTGCATTACTAGGCCCCCAGTTTCAATTGATCTTTCCTTATATATCAGTTGCTAACTTGGTTTTAGAACCTGCAATTGCCTTAAACACAGTTTTCAAGAATTCAGATAGAACCTGTTGCTGACACTTTATTTTAATCTGATTTAAATTTTAAGTATTTGGCCACCATAAAATTACAGTTTTCACTTATATCCAACATGGATGTTTTCCAGTCCAAGAAACTACTTGTCTCTCAATAACCAATTTATGAATGTTTTAGAAGACAACTGATTCACAATGGTGTGATAGCATTTGTGTTAACCTTTAGTAATAGTAATATCAAATCGTTTGTGTGTGTGTGTGTGCACGCGCGCGCGCGTCGCGCATTAATAGAATATTATTTCTCAAACAGTTTATTCCCTATTCCTTAACCATCTCTTTTGCTATCAAGTGGCAATTTTGGAATTTCATTTGCTAAGAGAAATGTGACTGGATACGATATTCTTTATAATTTTACCCTGATATATGTTTCTTTGAAGTGTGTATTTTAAATGGCCCTTGTATACAGACTGGATTTCTGATTGCAACATTATGCCTTTTACTACTCAGTTGTAATGATATTAAATTATTTATGTTATCCC